CATGGTTGTATATTTGCTCTTTGTTGCATTTATTTACAAATAATTTGTTACAATTTTGTCAATTATTAAAATAATTTTTAAAAATCTGTATACAGTTGAACTTGCCCCAGTCTATCTTATTATGCCAAATTACTTTACATGTTGTTTATCTATGTCGAACAATGGAATTATGCATTCGACTTCAAACAATTAGTTGAACTGTATTAAAATTAATATATACAAATTATTGTTTTGCAATTAAATTTTATATACTGTAGTTATACATATTAAAATGTTTAAAACTATGGACATATCCAGGTTATACATAAATAAACCTTATAGTACTGTAGTTTACTTTATGTTCATTGCCTTACAGTATAATACTGTATATATGTTTATATACAATTAGTTATTTTGTTTCAAATTATATAAATTAATATATACTGTAATTATGTTGACTATCATGGTTTTAGGCCTCATGAATTAATTAATTATTCATTCATATATTTAATTATTTGTATTGTCATTGATATCATCCTCCATGTGGAAGTGATTGACATCATTATACCTGTACTGTATATGCCCTGCCGTCATTGGCCAGGCCTTAACCTTACGAAACTGACCAATGGAAACTTATGATCCACATTCAAATTCATTGTGTGTACCAGTGGAGCTTCTACCAATACTTGACAAATGTGTGTGATTTTAAGGTACAAAATACAACAATAATAGCAGGTTTACTTACTGATAACTACACATCAAGGATAATTCATTGATGCAAGACTCAATATTCAACACAACTTGATTGATTGAACGTTTCATACAGCCTCTAGCCGAAGCCGTAGCATAGGCCTAGCTAGCTAAGCTAGGCCAGACCAGTGGCTGCTAGGCCTACCTACTACTAGCTAGGCTAGTAGGACGGCGGATGATGCAGAGTTCGATAGAAAAAGGTAAGATAAGAATACTATACAACCATACTAATGTAATAAAAAAATAATACAAAGCCAGGGCAGACTGAGACTGAGCCTACCCTATCATTTACCTTACATTCTACTAGGCCTAGTTATTACTAATATAGGCCTAGGCCACCCATACAAAAAAATTCTATAGAATTCTATCAAAAAAAAACTATAGAATGTCTATAGCATAATTGTTTAGAAAATCTATAGAAAATTCTATAGAAATAACTATAGAAGCCCACTATAAAAAGTCTATTAAAAAGCTATTAAAACTATATTAAAAATCTATTAAAACTCTATCAAAAATCTATTAAAACTATATTAAAAATCTATTAAAACTCTATTAAAAATCTATTAAAACTATATTAAAAATCTATTAAAAATATATAAAAAAACTATAAAAAATTTATAAAAACTCTATAAAAAATACATTAAAACTATATTAAAAGACTTAAAAATCTATAAAAATTATATAAAAAACTATGAAAATTCTATTAAAATTCTATAGAAAGTCTATGAAAATTTTATATAAAAAAATCCTTAAAAAAACTATAGAAAATCTATAAACAATTTTATAAAAACCACTTAAAAATCTATAAAAATTATATAAGAAAACTATGAAAATTCTATTAAAATTCTATAGAAAGTATGAAAATTTTATATAAAAAAAAACCTTAAAAAAACTATAGAAAATCTATAAACAATTTTATAAAAACCACTTATAAATCTATAAACATTTTATAGAAAAAAACCTATAAAAATACATTAAATATGCGAATAGAAATTCTATACAATTACTGTATATAGAAAGTGTATATAAATTGAACGATTTTATATAGAAAATCTGTGTATTCTAAAAAAAAAAAATTTTTAAATGTGGGTGTTGTGTGTTTTTGGACAATTCAACTGCTCTTCAACTTTAACTGGCCCCAATTCCAATTGGTTTGCAATGGTCCCAGTTCCAATTGGTAACAATGGCTTTAATCAACTTCTGCAGACTTACAAAATACACTATGAGTTCATATACAAACCATAATTTCTTTAATTTAACAAACATCATACGGAGGGACATTACTTCCCTAGGATCTCATTTACTAGCATACCCCTTCATATATTATCGTTTTGCTAATGTCTACTGCTAAACATACTGTACCTCAAATTCAAGGCTATTCTACAGTTCTTTGCTTTTTACAGTCCGGTTTAAATAAGCATTTTTTTTTCGTAATGTAGTCCTATTACAAGAGTTATTATATAAAACAATATTCAAAAACCATTTGTGTTACAGGTGTGCATAAACCAGCATTCTTTGTGATATTGCAGCAGCAACTGTCCATAACCATGCCTTTTCTTGTCCGATGGTACCAAGCTAAATTAGTATGAATTATGCCGTTGAACAAATCTAGTTTTGAAATATTAAATCACTGTGACTTGTACTAACATTTCTCGGAGTTTCACTCTTGCTGAAAGATATAACAAAACAAAATAGAGCGCATATTATAGAAACCGCTATTAAATGTATTACATCCCTTTATTATTGTATTAAAATAGGAGTAATATACATATATGTAGCAGTTACTTCTTTTTTAAACAAAAGAAAATTATTATTTTTTTTTTTTAGTTTTCAAAACAGCTTAGCCTACACTACAATTTCAATATCCCTTAAGGCCTAATATATACACATTACATTTGATTAAACTCCATCGTGTAAACGACATCATCATCTATAGCATGTTGTTAATAATTAATAGTACAGGACAGTAAAAATAAAACGTCAACAAAACATTATATTCACCTTTAGTAAGTCAGGTAATTGTCTGGCCTTCACAGATGCGTCTTCAAACAAACATGCTTTCCTACTACAATTATTGAGTTGACTGGATTGAGTTTTCACTCACAGTAGTTACCGAGACTTGAGTATCCTGAAATAAAATCACCATTTATGTTGTTAGTATAGGCCTTTTGATTACATTAACTTTCTCCAAATAATGATACAATTCTTTTTTTTCACCCCCTCCCTCACCATAGTTAACCGTTAACCGATTATTTTATTAAAGCACTATAGAATGTCAGGTAATTTTTTCTGTTCCTTTACAGAACGTCTTTAAACAAAAATTAATGCTTTCAACTACAAGGAGTTGACCGGATTGAGTTTTCACTTAATTACAGTAGTATGAGACTTGATTGAGTATCCTGAAATAAAATCACCACTTATGTTATAGTATAGGCCTAGATTTAATACATTAACTTTCTGCAAATAATGATACAATTCTTTACACCACTCCCTCCCCGGTTAACCCTAAACCCATTATTTTATTAAAGCATCATGGACGTATTTAAGTGAGGACACAGCCCAAATGCAATTTACCACTCTTCTTATATGGCATGCTAGACTATGGGGCAATTAACTTTGCTTAGCTAGGCCAACAAAAGGCCCAGGTTCTAGGCCTAGCCCTATCCTCAATGGCCTAGAGAGAACAGAGAACCTCAGTTCTGTCTGTCTCTGTACGGCGGCTAGGCTAGTACCGGTACAGCTACTGTAGGTAGGCTAGGCCAGGCCTCTTCATTCAAGCCTTCATCTACCACTACTACTATGCCTAGGAGGAGGCTAGCGTGTCTGCTGCTAGAGTAGTAAACTAACTAAATGATAAAACAAAACCAACTCTTACCACTTGATAGTGAATACAGTACTGCTAAAATTCTTCCAAGGAGTATGTTTATAACTGCCTAACATCATGAAAGTCCAGAGAAAAATTCAAAATACTACCGCTTCCGTTGGCTCTACATGAAGTGACAATTCAAATCAGCTGATGGTCACTTGATGAAGTGACCAATCAGATTTGTGCAATTCGACACTAACATTAATTGGTTGGTAGGTGGGCTATCACAGTAAACA